GGCACCTCCCCCCCAGGCCTTCTCCCTCGACCCTCTTGTCTGTGCCCAGGGACTATGCACACATGTATGTACATTCTTTGGTTAATCTCCGGCCTCCCCACCCCTCTTCCCTCGGAGATTTGTTTGTCTGTTCCATGCTTCCATGGCAAAAGGTCAAAATATCTTTGGGGGGGGGCACCATTCAACCCCCTACACCACCTAAATGCTATATTTTTCTCATTGAAGTATATGTATGTTATGGATAAACATAGATGGTTTTAAAAATACATGTTTACCATGGTGTGCTAATTTTTCTCAAGCTAATTTATAGAACGTCGTTACGGCTGCACTTGTAGCATTGACTAGATACAGTCAAGTGGTTAAACAAGTTAATATATAAATTCTTGTTATTGATATTAAGGTTGTTAAATACCCATGAGATTATCTGTCTGTTTATCTACCATCCATCTCTGTTTGACCCATTCAGGCTTGACAGGTATAGTAGGTAGAAATAAATGCTAATTATATAACAATCCCCAAACATGTATCTATTAATAAGCTTCACAAATAATCAGTGGGAGAGGGAAATGTCCTTTCCCCTCACAAATGTGAAAACAGGCACTCATCGTCATGTGACAGCAGTATTTGAGGCTTACTGTGTGGTCTTGTAATTTTCCTAGAAAAATTATTTTCTAGAAAATACATATTATACATATTACTAGAGGCCCAGTGCACGGCATTCATGCACCGGGGGGTGTGGGAGTCCCTCAGCCCGACCTGCACCCTCTCCAATCTGGGAGTTTCTGTCTGTCTTTGCAATCATATGAGCGAATTGTCTGAGACCTCAACTCAGTTTGGTTTGTTGCTTACAGAATAATAGAGGCTTTTTTTTTTTCTTTGCTTCATTGGTGGAGATTTCCTGGAAGTTTTAGGATATCTTCCCTTTAATTTTTCCACAAAAAAATATGTAATTATATATGTGTTTTCCGATGGTCTTAGGCGACTCCTATGAAAGGGTCATTAGATTCCTAAAGGGGTCGTGACCCACAAGTCGAGAACCACTGGTCTAGGAGATCCATCTGCCACCAGAACTACGATTCCCAGCATTCCTGGTGCTCCCCGAGCTCTTGGTTTTCTCTTCCTGCTCTGTCTCCACGTCCCATGGCCTCCCACTCTGCCAAGTCCTTCAAGCCGCCAGCTCTCCCTCTCTGCTCTCCATCTGACAGCTTGGGGAGCCAAGTTCCCCAAGCCACTCCACTTTCTGCCGGCTCTCCCGCCCTGCTCTCCGCCTGGCGCCTGTGTATGCAAATTGACCCGCCATCTTTGTCAGGTTAATTTGCATAGTCACTCCTGATTGGCTGGTGAGTGTAGTGGAGGGACGGCCAATTTACATGTTTCTCTTTTATTATATAGGATAATTCCTATTTCCTCTGTAGTAGGAGGTGAACATGAGCCTTTGAGCCTGGTAAAAGTCCTATGGCTCTGATTTTAAAATAATGCAGGCATCATTCACTGTCTGTGGCTGTGTTTCAAGCACTGATCAGGAATTTTCCCATTAACTACCATCCCTGCTCCCCTGTCCTGCCTCTCAGGTACCTGCTTTTCAAATGCCAGCATTTCTCACAAGTGCTGGGAGTGAGAGAAGACATTCCTGGCACAGCCCTGGGGTTCAGCTCTCCTCAGGTTACTCCCGGAATCACTGATCTAATTAGGAGGGTGAATTGCAGTTCTGCTGGTGCTTTGATTTAAAAACACAAAACTGTCATGTTATTTGAATTTCCTTTTCTGAGTATGACATTCTTATGTTTTGCTGTTTTTCACAGGTCAATTCTCTGTTCAATATTCTTTGAGTTTGGGGTTTATTATTAGTATTAGCAAAATGCTTCAGCATGAATAGAGAAGTGTTTCTTTCTAGCAGAATCAAACATTTTCCTTTATATTAAGGTTGTTAAATACACAAGACTCTCTAGCTTAAATGTTTGAAATTTTAGTCTTTATTATTTTCTATAACTTTCTTCATACATTGTATTTTATGCTCGGAAACCATTTATGTTTCTCAGTTCTACAATAAAAAATGATTGGCACATCCAAGATCAAAGATAACTTCAAAGATAACTTTCCTATGTGGAAGCCAGTGAATTTTAAATAGATTTAAATCTTTTTTGTATTAAAAGTGAAAATTGGCTGCCGATCTTCTTCAAGCAATTTAAAGACTATAATTAGACAATATTATGTATCCAGTATCTTACTAGCAAAATCTTGGTGGGTATTAAAAGATGCACTCATTCTGTGTACTATAAAGTGATAGGGAGCTATTTCAAAAAGTAACATCTATTTTAAGACAGGACACTTTGATAGTTAAAACAGCGTTTAAAACTATTTTTACATTTCACACTGACTGAGCCTTTTTTGCCATTAACCTTTGACTTTTGACCTTTTCCTTGCTGTTTGCTTTTTCTATTGAAAAGCAGATGATGCCGCTGTGTGGAACTTACATATTTGGTGATACTTCATTCTGTGACAAAGAAAAGAATGATTTAGTACAAACTGCCCAGTTGTTAGATTGGACATTTTTGTCTGTTTCCCATACATTTCTTAGAGCAGAAGCTATATAAGAAAATAAATTTATTAAAAATGAAATTGATGCGTAAGGGCTACTTGTTTTAGTGGAGTTTCTCTAAATGTGTTACCTATCTGTGCCACTCAGGACAGGAGTGAATATTTGTCCCTAAATAAAATCTGATAGAAGTAAATTATTTCCATATTCAGTTTTTCTCGCTTATCAAATTCCCAGCATATCACAAAGTAATACTGCACCAGACACAACTATCTGATTCTCTGTAGAGAAAGAAAAGAGGCTTTGAAAGCCTTCAAAAATGCAATTTGCAGACCTCTCCCCCTTGCTGTGAACATTAGGTGTCCTAGGGCTAGTCCTAGGGTCGGATATCGTCGTCTCCGTGGGCGTCAGAGATCTAGTGGGAAACGGGTTTGGGTTAGTGCTCTGACCATCAGCTGCCACTGGCTTTGTACGCTTTCCTGACTTGGGGAGGAAATGGGAATTGACAGCCTACATTCTGCACGTGTGACCTGGAGAAACTGTTAATAATGCGCATTCCTGAGTCAAAGGTCCGCGTGGGACCTGGCCATCCCGATGTCAGCAATCGCTCCAGGTTTTTCTGACACAGAGCAGCCTTTTACCACGTGGAGAAACATCCAGGGGTAATTCAGTCCATATGAGCGGATAAAAAAAAGCAAAAAGTGTCTTCCAGTCAAAGAAGGCTCATTATACTTCCTTTCGTGCCTGGGGCACGTGTCAACAGGACTGCCTTCTGCTCTTGGATGGGCATTTCATCGTTGTTGCATTTAATTCCCACGATGGTCCAAACGGGAACAGTGAGTCCTGGGGAGCTCACCCTCTACCCCGCCCCCCGTCTGATAATTAGCAAGTTGAACAGCACGGACTGAAGCCCTAATCTTCTCTATCTCATGGACAGTACCGAGGCCACAGCCACAGTCAAGCTCACAGGAATCTCTGAGCAGATGGAAGTCTGGACAGTGCACCAGGAGAAATGGGGAACTCGGGTGCAGTTCATTTCTAAAATGTGGCCGCTTGTAGAGGAAATGACATAACACCTTTACTGTGCATACTACATCTTTAGCCATTTACTGCTGTCATTGTCATTTTATATATATATAATTTATTTCAGAGAGGAAGGGAGAAGAGAGAGTGCAACATCCATGATGAGAGAGAATCACTGATCGGCTGCCTCCTGCACATCCACACTGGGTGTGGAGCCCATAGCCCGGGCCTGTGCCCTGACCGGGAATCGAACAGTGACCTCCTGGTTCCTAGGTCGACGCTCTACCACTGAGCCACCTCGGCCGGGCTCATTGTCAGTTTCACACCTTGCTTTCCTTGATCCCGATCTCCCCCAATTCCCTGGTACCTGTAAGCTGTTGCCTGGCCTCATTTCACAGAAGAGAAAACAACAACTTGTTCAAGGAGAATGAGCAACACTCCCAAGTTTTTTAGGTGAATGCGTGACAGAGACAAGTCTTGAATTTATGCCTTTGGAATTCCCAGAGCAGGACTGTGACACTGGCCACCTGCCTTAGACCTCAGCTAGTTCTGATCAGACATCACACAGGAAAGGTGGAGGGAGATTCGGTGTCTGTGACTTGATCCAGTTCTAAAGGCATGAAATTACTCAGTGAAGAGTGCTGTGTAGACTCATCCCAGAGTGTTAATTCAGGACAATATGGTATAATGTGCTCATTTTAATATTTGATTATTCATATTGAAACCTAGGGGTCTTCTCCAGAGTTGAAGCAAGTATGAAGAGTTAGACGCTAACCATTTACCGACTATAAAATGCCCATTGTCTGTAGTTGCTCTTTTGTAATATGAGAAATGACATATTTGATTCATGATTTTACCGAAAGTAAAAAACTGAAAATCTGTTTTATCCGTTCATGCTTCCAATGCACCCAGGATTGCCGCCGCCCCTGTAAGTTTGTCCTTCAATACAAGGGTGGAGTTTGCGCATTAAAGATGCACTTTCCATTTAAATATGACCAGCTTGTGAGAAGCACTGTGTTCCCCAAGATTCCCGCTTGTGGTTAAATGTCAGCTATCAAGTTCATGCTTCTTGTTTTCATCTTTGCAGGGTTCCACTGGATTTCCCGGGTTCCCAGGGGCCAACGGAGAGAAAGGCGCACGGGTACGATGCTCAAGTCTATTGCTCTGGCCTCGCTATGCTAGTGTAATGTCCTTGCCAAGGCCCCCTCCCAGCCCAGACCCGGCTCCCTGTGCCCACCAACCCTGACCCAGTCTCAACTGTCTTTGCAGGGCGTCGCGGGCAAGCCAGGCCCTCGCGGGCAGCGCGGTCCCACGGTGGGTACATTACATCCAATCCACATTTTCGTTTCGGACTTAATTTTCCAAGATGATTTTCTCCAGGAATAGCAATGTCTCCGGCGCCTCTGGCGTGGCGTGAGAGCGACATGGTCTTCTGTCCCCCCCGCAGGGTCCTCGGGGTTCGAGAGGAGCACGAGGCCCCACCGGGAAGCCGGGTCCGAAGGTACTGTCCGCGCCTGTCTCCTCGGGCTTCGCTGTGAGCGCTCCGTCCGGGGACGATGCTGGGAGCAGGACTCACTGGTTTTTTCCTTCTGTTGTTGGCAGGGCACTTCGGGCGGTGACGGCCCCCCAGGCCCTCCTGGCGAGAGAGTAAGTATGAGACGGGCACATCAGATAGAATCGATTTGAAGATTTTGCAAGTGATTACATTTCTAGGAAAGGGAACACGTGTCTGCAGCACACTTCCACGGCCGTCCACAAAATCCAGCGAGAGCGGAAACATTCCTAGTCTTTAACTGACTCCTCTAAAAGAAAGCTTCATCTTCCTACTTTTTATTTGTTTTTTAATCCTCACCCGAGAATATTTTTCCATTGACTTTTAGGGAAAGTGGAAGAGAGACGGAAAGACCAAGAGAGAGGGAAAGACCGAGAAACATCGATGTGTGTTTGGTTGCCTCCTGCACGAGCCCTGACTAGGGCCCAGGCCCGGGAGGAGCCTGCAACCTTAGTACATGCCCTTGACTAGACTCAAAACTGGGACTCTTCAGTCCACAGGCTGACATTCTATCCACTGAGCCAACTGGGTACGGCATCTTTCTATTTTAAAAAATATTTTTATTCATTTTTAGAGAGGAAGAGAGAGGGAGAGAGAGAGAAACATTGACGGGGCTGCCTCCTGTACACCCACTACTGGGGATCAAGCTCACAATCCAGGCGTGTGCCCCGACAGGAAATCGAACCGTTGACCTTTCCAAGAGCATAGGACGATGCCCAACCAATTGAGCCACACCGGCCAGGGTTCATCTTTCTTTTGCACACAGGTTATATGCTACTGATCTTGTCACAGAAATGAGAGAAATAACACGTGTAATTGGTCCAAGATGTCACTCTTAAACTCAAGCCATTTTTTTCTTCTTTTAAGTAGACGCGTGACACCGATGCCTCCTTCACTTTATGTTACACATTGATCCTCATTATGTCCGTGGAGCTGGCCAGCAGCATGATGCTGGTACAATACAAGCTCCCCGCGGCCATTAAATCACAACCCGTATGCACTCACATCAAGATAAAACATCTGTTCCAGTAAATAGAAAAACTGCTTATTTCCAATCGATGTACACTCAAGCTAAATGCACATGACTAAGCATGCCCTTTATTTTATTGTAGTTTTTTGGCAAAAAGGATCATTTTTGTAGTCAGATTTTGAAAAGCTATCCTCTTGAAAGAATTTTAAATATTAAATTGAATTACTGTGAAAGAAATTAGACTCACTTTAAATATTCTATAATTATTTTTAGTATGCAATCATAGACATATATTTTTATATTACTTTTGAAATTTATAAAGAAGTTTCACAAAAAGAAAAACAGAACTATCCTACAATGTATAACTTAAAACTGAGAATAAGTAAATTTTTTTGGAATAATGTTGGTATTTGTGACAAATGTCAGCAGATGAGACAAAAGAATAAATCCTTAGTTGTTGTCATTTCCAGCTTTGGTTTATATTTAACTAAATGAAACTTCCTACCAAATATTTCTCACTATTAATGAACTATCCTCAAATTAAGTCCATCCTATACAATTTGAGCTCATAAATAATACATACATTTTGAAATTTTTTATGGACCAAGTCGTGTTAGTAAGAAGATACAGTCAAATTAATTAAGATGGCCGACTCACTGAATGGAGTGGAAGCATTTAAGAAATTGTAGCACAACTAGGAATTTTGTCTTTAAAGCACAAACTAGTTTTTCTTTACGTATTACTTGTGCTTCCCAACATTTCATGATCAACCATGTCTTCACAATTTTATTTTGGAGCACAGTACTGACCCAATAGCATGCTTATGTGTAATTGTAAAAACACTTCAAGAACAAGAAGAAGATATTTTGAAGATAAATATAAAGGCTGATCCAAAATAATTTTTTTCCAAGAAACATTTATACATGTTTTAAACATATAGAATGTATTTCTTGTATTCTATGGAGTTAGTGTGACATTTCCTCCCTAGTGTACCCTCATTCTCTGCAAAGAATTTTTATAATGAACTGTTTAATTACATCTTAGGCACACAAATGAAAAATGATAGAAATAATATAAAAATATAGGATATCCTACAAGTTAAATATGATCACTCATACTCAATTATTTGCAGCTCAGGGTTGCCTGTTAGTAAATACTTGGTTAATACAGCATTCATTTGGATCTGAGATGACCAGATTTAGCAAAAACAAAACAAAATCAAAATAAATAAAATAAGTGAGACATCCAATTAAGTTGAACTTTTACATAAACAATGAATAATTTGTTACATAATTATGTCCCTTGAAATATTTGGGACATATTAAAATTATTCATTATTTATCCAAAATTCAAATTTCACTAAACACTGGGTATTTTATCTGGCAATTCTCATTGAGTTTCAATACTGTTTTTACAGAGTCTTTATTTTTTACCCCACCTGGAAACTCTTTTGATTAATGCAAAAAGCATATGTCACACTCTTTTGTGAAATATTATGAAGACCCAGTGTTGCATCTTTATTTTCTCTGAGGAAGTAAAATGAGATACAGTCTTCAAAAGTAACCTATTTTAAGTACAGAGATTAGTTAAAGGCATCTTCTCTGGTCTTTTTGAGGAAATCACTTACTTGTTTCCTTCTAGTTTATATGACTAGAGTCAGAATATGTAGAAAGTCCATTTAAAAAAGAATTTTTCTTTTGGGGGATTTGGAATCAGCTAATGTTCAAAGCAGAGCGTCCGTGGAACTTCCTGGCCCGGCCCTGGCTCACGCCTTTCATATGAACGTGCCGTGTGGCTCTGGGGCTGAATCGTGTGAAAAGCATCCCCTTCGCTCTTCGCTGAGCACCGGTGTCTCGTGTGTCGCCGTAGTCGTCAACGTGGGGAAGAAGCTACGTGCTCTGTGTGCATCATCTGTAGACGCAACCCGCGAGGTGTCAAGGCGTGTTGTACGGCGTGTTCTCAAGTGTCCCCTCTGCTCTTGACTTTCAGGGCCCTCAAGGACCTCAGGGTCCGGTTGGATTCCCAGGACCAAAAGGCCCTCCTGTAAGTAAGCGTTTTCTCTGTCTTTCTTCATGTGAGAATGTGGTGTATTTGTGAGAGACATGGCTTACGTTGAAATCATTTCTCGATACACACATTGATGACAATTCCTATGAAAACAAAATTGCAATGAATGACGTCACATTCTACAGATATTTTCACTTTGTGATGTTTACTGAGTGTTTCTGGTTATCGTGTAATTATATCTTACTAAATATTCTTTCAAAGTGTATCAAAGACTAGAACAACATGAATATTGTTCTCTCTCAATGACTCCTCTACTGCAACTAATACCACTCATGGCATAAAACACTGTGATATCCAGTGTGCCCTTCAAAATACATGTGGGTCGCAGACTTCTCCTGTCCTCGCTGGTGGAAGGGATGAGGGAGCGCTCTGGAGCATCTGTTATAAGTCACCAGCCCCGTTCAGGAGGGTTCCACCTCATGACTGAAGCACCTGACGAAGGTCTCCCCTCAATAGCATTACCTTAAGGGTTACATCTTTACAAAAAATTCTGATTTCAGAAAGGAATGTGGTGGGGGGGTGGGGGCGGGGAGAAAACATCAATGATGAGAGAATCATTGGCTGTCTCCTGCACCCCCCCTACTGGGGATCGAGCCCACAACCAGGCATGTGCCCTGACAGGGAATCAAAAGGGGGAGGGTCTTCGTAGCAAAGTCTCCAGGTAGTTCTGACAAATGCTCAACTCTGTCCACCACTGTTCTTGTCTAGACTTGAATGTGCACACAGATCATGTTGGCACCTTGTTAAAAATGTAGATTTTGATTCAATAGGTCTTTGGTGCGTTCAGTACAAGTCTTGAAAAAAGGAACCGTTCAGAACATTCTAAATTAAGATGTTAAAATTTTAAATAAATGTTATGTGTGATTACATTATATATTTAAACATGTTGAAAATAATTTATAAATAAATACATATGTTCTCCAATTCTTAATGCGTTTGAACAACCCTCTATTTCACTGTTACTTTCCAATGTGACTTCAGCTCACATCTTCAGAAGATAAATTTTTTATTGTGAAATACTGACTTGAATAGTAAATGTTAAAGCAGTCTCTTGCCTTCTACAGTAATTTCAGACAGCATGTGCAGTCTACACAGACACACGTACAAGTATGTTTAAAATATTAGTTTAACACTACAGTTTTATTACTGCAAACAGATCAAGAGCAGATTATCTGCATTACTGCATTATAAACAAATTAATGCAAACAGCTAGTATTAAATGTAGGATAATAACTACACATAGGATTCTTTTCATGAGTATTTCGAAGCCACGTGCATAGACCACTGTTTAGCAGCATAAAAACTAGTGTCGTGTGTAACTTGCACATTATCGCACCGTTTACTCGTGGGCATATGTTTAAGGATTGTTTTCCTTCGTGCAATGTAACTTTATTGTCAGGGAGAGCCACTCGACCCACTGTTCCTCAGACTTTTCCAGCCTGTTCTCTCGTGCCTTTCCCACAAGTTTGGAGCCATTGATCATGCGTGCATTCTGTATGAGGCGTTAGAAGTGCAAGTGCCTCCACTTGAACGGAACGCACTCTTGTTGGAGAGACACGACAATGCGAAGGAACATGCGTTCACTGCAGAGACAGTGGTTTCTATACTCTGTTTCTCTGGCAAGTGAAACGTTAGAGCATGAGATAGAAGCACCATCATGTCTCCGGGGGGCATTTGCATAATGTTTAGGGAAGAATGCCTTCATCTCTGTGATGGAGAAGGAAGTCTTGGGTGGAGGGTGAGAGCAGCCTCCTCTTCCTGCAGGTTAATCGGTCCATCTTCATTGTAATCATGAAATGTGTGCTGTGTACACACAATGTACACATACACACGTACAAATATGGATTGTGGATTGAGTGCTGCGGATAGTCATGATTAGAATGGCAATGCCAAGTCCATGTCAGCATACAGTTTCCCCACTTAAGGGTAATTTTTAACGTGAGGCGATGAAGGTCTATAATATGACTGTTATAAGACACATCCTACTTACAGGAGAGGAAAATTCAAAACTCAGTGCCTAATACCTAGCTATGTAAAAGTTGCCTTGGAACGAAGGAATGGTTAAATGGCATCGCATTTTGGGGGCCTTGGTTAAAAACATTCCAGTTTTGGTTCTGGGGGGGAGGATGGCATCAGAATCGCTGGAAAATAATGAGCCAGTCCCTGAGCAAGCCATGGTCTCGGGAAATACCATGAGAGCGGCCTTTAACTAGCGCCCTTAGCTCGCCTGGCCACCCGTGTGTCCGCAACGATGAGATGAGGGAGCAGGTGGGAATGAGGGGAGGCCAGGACCCTTCTTCCCGAAGGGCTGTAGACGAGCTAGAAAAGGCTCCTTCCAGGGAAGGATGTGGTGGTGAAAATGAGTTTATTTCTAAATAAACCCCTTATTCCAGCTCAACATAGAAAAAGCATGATGTTCCGAAGCAGATTTATGTAGATAGTGCATTTGTTTAAACAAATACAGAGATGTATTTAAATAATTAACATATCATGACAAGTATATCTGTCATCATCAAAATGGTGGTTTTTCTTCATTTATCCAGAATGGCAAGGCTGTGTGTGCCCACCTCTATAAACATGTCTTGAAATGTGAACTGATCCTTAGAATGGCTTCTGAGGAGGTTGGATAACTCATAGCGCAGCCCGAAGAAGCAGCCGATTGCTCCTAAGTGTCCGAAACATAGGAACCTCACTGAGTTGTTTACTTTAGTGCTTAGTTAATTGCTTCATTTATTTCTTCGGTCATGACGAAGACAGCATCCTCTACAAAAAAGGGATAGCAGAGTAGACCTGCTCTCCCGTGCTTAACAAACATGATGCTTCCAAGAAAATTTGAGAAATCCTACTGGGAAAAATTGGTCCTGATAATGTCTAAAATTGAGCGAAGTACCTTCTTTTCTTTTCTTGAAGCAATTGAGAGATAACTGCCATTGTTTATAACAGAGTTTGTGTTTCTTTTCATTGTCAGTTAAGAGCTCAGACCACCACTAGAGGGCACTGTCTTTCTCTCCTTTCCAAGTCTTGATGGGTTGAAAATTGATCAGAAAAGGAGGGCAAAATATACTCATATTTCAAGTACTAAAGAACTAACATTTTTGCAAAAATAAAAACAAGTATTTGTCACTATTCCTTTTAAAAAGGTAACTACTAGTGAAGATAATTGAAATGTAAAATGTTCAGATTAGGGTTGTACAATTTTCTCTTGGTCTCAGTTCAGATAGAATTATACCAAAAATTATATATATATATATATTTTCTCAACAGAACATCAAAAATACAATATCTAATGAAAATACGAGAACGTTATCTAACATATTCCATGAGACTATACAACCAGTCATACATATTTATAGCATGTGGTGTTTTTATTTGTGATTTCAGGGACCACCTGGGAAGGATGGCCTGCCAGGGCACCCTGGGCAACGTGGAGAGACTGTAAGTGACCTCCCTCTTCCTATTACAATTGTCCTTCTCTAGCACCCCATCACTGAACAGAAAGCTACTTTACTTAACAGCTCAGTTACCAGGTTAAGGACAATGGAGAAATTGATACTATTGAAACTCTTTTTTTAAAAAAAAAACAAACAAAGAAAGATATTTTTATTGATTTCAGAGAGGAAGGGAGATGAAGAGAGAGAAACATCAATGATGAGAGAGAATCACTGATCGGCTGCCTCCTGCATGCCCCACGCTGGGGACTGAGCCCGCAACCCGGGCATGTGCCCCGACCAGTAATCAAACCCTGACCTCCTGGCCCTCAATCACTGAGCCACGCCGCTGGGCCTATGGAAACTCTTATTAAAATATATTTTTAAAATGCATAAATAGGACCATGTTTGTATCTAAACACCTAAAAGGACAGACTTGAGGGCATGGGATGTTAGTTGATTTGCTTGTCCTGATGGTCAATTACAGCATCTTGGGATGAGCTGATGGGGAGACCCCATTATTTTTGTGACACCTCCACCCTGGCCCTTTCACTGAAGGCTTTGTTTGCAGATATATTCCAGCCAACCCTATCACCCCTCCACCCTCTACAGGAAACACATTAAAGTAAGCCATGCAGGTGACACATTCTTCTTCTCTCCAGAACAAAAGGATGCAATGTTTTCTGATGTTGAAACCACAAGGCTATATAATAACTGGTCTGGAACAAGGTCAAATGCATCCTCTTGCCTCCAGTAGAAAAATATGAATGGGAACATGTGACTGAATGTTATTTAACGTTATGAACAGTGTAACATTAAATACATGAGTAGGGCAGGGGAACACTGGGAGCTCAGCTATGCCTTACCGATCCTGGCAGGTTTGTGGGTTTACTCTGCCACCATCACAAAACCAGGTGTCAGGCTATGCCGGTGGGGTGTGAGTTTAAACAGAAATCATCGTGGATTAGCATGTTGACTTAGAATCCCATTTTGCTTCTCATCGTTGGTTAATTTTATCCAGATTTCTTAAGGAAATCACCACACAGACTAGCTTTGAGGATGAGGCTCCAAAACATTTGAGGGCATTCTGTGAGCACAAAGATGTATTTGGAGTCGCATCAAAGTCCACGATAACAAATCTGAAAATGTGATGATTTTCTGTGTAGTCTTGTGTCATTCACCAAGTGACAGTTGTTGGTCTAAGAATTTTTTCGCTTTAGTCAGATTGTAAACTTCAAAGTCTTGGATTTCAAAAATACATTTCAGAATGATTTAGTGAGACCAAAGAGTAAAATTGGTTGGGTTTTCTCCCGGGAAAGATAACTACATGAAGAGCATAAAATAAACCCTCTAAAGAAAAATCCACATTCAACTTTGCAAATGCATTCTCATTTAAATATTGCAGTCAATCATTTTTAACCAAGTCCTGGTAGAGCTTTGTGGGAGTAATTCTATAATATTCCCAAAATGTCTGCGAAGGGAGGGATACCTAGAGAATTTTCATTATAAAATCCCTTTTGTCTTCAACTTAATAAGAGCTTCTGCTATCTCCAGAGTAACCATATTATATATTTAAATTTAAACAAAGAGGGAAAATAGCATATTAATGAATGATTCTAGGGTGGATGTTCTCATTGAGTAGTTTCTCCTAGACCTAGACAAAGCCTAGCATTATTTCTGGAAAACTGTATTTCAGATTTCAAATCCACTTTTTAAAAATATATATATTTTTAATTGATATCAGAGAGGAAGGTAGAGAGAAAAAAATATCAATAATGAGAGAGAATTATCAATCAGCTGTCGCCTGCACGCCCCACACTGGGGATCGAGCCCGCAACGTGGGCATGTGCCCTGACCAGAAATGGAACCGTGACCTCCTGATTCATAGGTCAGCACTCAACCACTGAGCCACGCCAGCCGGGCCAAATCCACTTTTAAGAGCAATAGTGAATAATCTTATTGCCAGGAACCTTTCTTTCTCATGTGTGTGTGTGTGTGTATGTATGTATGTATGTATGTGTGTGTATGTATGTGTGCACGCTGACTGGGATTTAAAAGATTACCTTATACAAGAATTTAGAGTAGCTGTATTTTGCTATATATGTGTTACCTCATCTTTAAAAATGGATATTTGTTACATTGGAATTTTGTCCTCAGGCAGAAATCCTTGAGTTGAGAGTTCAATCTGACATTTTACCGTCCAAAGCTTTTTGAGACCACTGGGAATTATTAGAAATAGTTTCTGTTACACTGAAGCAGCCCAAGTTTCTCTCAGAAACACAGTGCCAAGTCCTGTATCGATCCTAATGCAGACAATGAGGACAGTGAAATTGTTGAAGATTTTGCTGATCTTGATTTAGTCATCAATTCAAATGGTAGCTTCAGCCAAGAATTCAAGAGAAGGCTGAATGCTTGGCCGAAGCTACCATTTGAATTGATGGGCCGAGCAGCCATGGGAGAATCGGGGGAGATCGCCAAGAGCAAAGAGGGCTTATTAGAGACCAAGGCTAAGACCACCCACACCCTCCTACTCCCAGTTACTGTGTGCGGATGGGAAAGTTGGGCGGTGAAGAAGGCTGATAGAAAAAACAAGATTCAGTTGAACTAAGCTACTAAAAAGAGAGACAAACAAGGGGGTCCTAGAGCAAGAGAAGCCTGAAACATCGCTGGTGGCAAAAATGACAAACCTGACACATCTGGGCACATGATGAGAAGGTGGGTTCTTTGGAAAAGACGGTTATCGCTGGGAAACACAGAAGGCAGCAGCCAAAGAGGAAGAGCAAAAGTGAGGCGGACTGGCTCCAGGAAGGAAGCCACAGGCGTGAGGATGCAGGGGCTGAGCAGGGCTGCTGAAAGCAGGACAGAGTGGGCACACTCTCATTCAGGGGGTCACCAGGCGTTGGCGCTAAAGGCATGTAACGCGCACGTGGAGATGCTCAGAATAACGGTTCCATTCTTACAGGCCTGGGGGGCTGCGATATAAATGGGGGGGGGCACATGTGGCTGCCCTTTGCTTTTTGACCTTATTTTTTAAAAAAATATCAGAGAGGAAGGGAGAAGAGAGAGAAACATCAACGATGAGAGAGAATCGTGGATCGGCTGTCTCCTGCACGCCCCCCACTGGGGATCGAGCCCTCAACCCGGGCCCGGGCCCCAACTGGGAATTGAACAGTGACCTGGTTGATAGGTCCACGCTCAGCCACGGAGCCACGCCAGCCAGCCAGGCGCTTCCTGACCTCATTATCATCCCTCTGATGTTATAGCGAATAAACCTTGCAAATACCATATGCTTTAATTCAGTTCTTTGGAAGGGTTGTCTCTCAGTATTTGGAGTCTTATTTCTCCAACTGTTAAACATAAGTTCACTCACATGAGAAAGACACTTGCCAACCATAATACAGGCATGCAGAATGAATAACCCATGAGTCTGGAAAAATACAGATACCAAATATAGCCCAAAGGCATGATTTAGCCAGTGCACGCAGCTAACATATAGCAGATTCTTCCTTAATTACTCATCCTATGCAAGATACATTTGTAAGTATATTCTTTGGGGTTTTAATAAAGAACACTGATCAAATGCTGAGATGTTTACTAGTCATGTCAAGTATTCTTTTTTTATAGTATTCCTTTTTAAAATATATATTTTTATTGATTTTAGAGAAGAAGGGAGAGGGAGAGATAGAAACATCAGTGATGAGAGGGAATCATTAACCGGCTGCCTCCTGCACACCCCCTACTGGGGATCGAACCTGCAACCCCGGCATGTGCCCTGATCGGGAATCGAAAGGAGACATCCTGGTTCATAGGTTGATACTCAACCACTGCACCACACTGGCTGGGCTCAAGTATTCTTTTTATAAATAAATTTTACACCCTGTGTATTTTACACGATTGTTGGGATGCAGGAAGGAGAAGGGCTTTGACATCATCGACTGTGGATTCATGTCTGAGTTCAGAATCAGGGGGCCTGTTGGGGAGAGTGTCTACCATCCTCATTGATTCCGCCCGTCAGCAGCGCTGGGTGACAATGATCTCATTTGACCTGAGCAGCGGGGCTGAGGACATGTTTCCACTCCAGGGTCATCCAGGGTCTTACTCTGTTTTCTGCTCGTATTGAAAGTCGCCATGGGACTGTCATGTGAAATAATGCACGTGGTGAATTTTGAATTTTAAAGAGCAGGAAAATAATGACACACTAAGTGTTTTAGCCAACAGTGACTTCCTTTTCATGTGCGGTGTTCCATTATCTCGGAGAATTTTAATTTATGTGTCGTACCCTGTAGAGCAGTGGTTCTCAACCTTCCTAATGCCGCGACCCTTTAATACGGTTCCTCATGTTATGGTGACCCCTGATTTCATTGTTACAAATTGAACATAATTAAAGCATAGTGATTAATCACAAAACAATATGTAATTATATATGTGTTTTCCGATGGTCTTGGGCGACCCCTGTGAAGGGGCCGTGACCCACAGGTTGAGAACCGCTGCTGTAGAGCTTTAATGGATGATGCTTTCTCTCTCTAGGGATTTCAAGGCAAGACCGGCCCCCCTGGGCCCGGGGGCGTTGTTGGACCACAGGTACATCCTGACACCTTGTCTCCCTAACGCGCCTTATCTTCCTGTTTCTATTCTCACCTCTGCCAGCTTCTTAGGATTGAAGACGAGCTATTTTTGTATTTCAGCAGCATTGTAATATATGCATCTTGCTTACATCAAATGAACTTCAGCAATTATTGCTTAGGTAAAGTGATTTCTAACTGAACTGAGTGAGTAAACTAGAAGGAAAATCTTAAAAATAAGTCAGAAAATTCCCAGTGTGGTGAGTCTGGCCATGGCAGCATCTGCCGGAAACCCACAATGCCTTGTTAACGAGGCCGGCCAGCCCTGTTCCCGGAATTTCAAGTTACAAAAGGACTTTAGTCTTCTGAGTATAAATTACACTTAGAAGTGGATTAGAAATATAAGGCTTTGATCCAATTTTATTCTAAAAATGTAACATTTGTAATATGTTGTATCTTAAGATTTTTGTCTTCATAACAAAGATTTTAGCAGGTGATGTATTGAGTATGCATCTTCATTGGATTATTTTTATTGGTACTTTTGAGAAAGAAAAACCAATGGCCTGTTTCAAATGTAATCACATTTTCCTGTTAAGACAAAGGGTGTGATTTAAAAGGAGCAATATTGATTGCAGTCCTTGCCAGTCACTTTTTTTTTCTTGGCACAGTTGTGTGAATCACTGCTCATTTTTGTCTTCAGTGGTGATGGCCATTAAATTAGGATCCATTTTACATTCCTTACTATTAAATTCTGATAAAAAATTGAAGGGAAATTTCCTTTGGGGGAAATGATTGCCTATTGATGGTAAGGTGGGGGCTTGCAGCAATAAACAGGGTGTCCCAAACATGTATACACACTTGAACAGCTGATAGCTTGGTTTTGAAAATGAAATGTATTAAAAAACACACACTGCCTTCACAATTATTCAAAGTGTGTGTATACATTTTTTGGGGGGGGGAGAGACACCCTATATAATTAAAGGAATTTAAACCTAAAAATGTACACTCCAGTTTGGGGCATCTGGTTGTTTATCCAGGACCGAAAGGTAAGAGCCAGTTGCATCTTCAGGTTGTAGGAAGACTACCCTCCCACAAGCACAGCATCTGCGCACTTTGCATTTACACATCTTTCGTTGCGTACCTTCCAGGGCCTTGTTCTAAGTGGAGACAAGAGCGCTGGTCTCCGTTCTCTGGGTCCTCCCGCGAGCTCATTAAACTCTGTCGCCACAGAACAGCTGCGCTCGGGGACACGTGAATGACCTGGCATTTTTCACGGTGGCATTTGCAGCCGTTTAAGGCAGCGGGTTATTTGTTACAGCCTCCGGGCGGGAGGAACTGCCAGCCCAAACCCATGGCCTGACGATCCCCTGCCACTCGCCAGACTTTGTCAGATGAGGGTAGATTAACAGTGAGGGCTCCACTTGGGACATTCCGAGGGGACCACGTTGGTTGTTTGGGTTCCTGGAAACCTGAGCTCAATTTCAGGCCGTGATTCATTGAGTAGCTACCATTCTGGTCCCAATGGCTTTTTTTCTTCACTCCTATTTGATACCTTAGACAAAAAGAGAGAAGGGGACAGACTAGAGGTAGAAACCATAGCTTTTTACAGCACTCGGACTGACCTCACTCTGAAGATTCCTGGTGTTGAACAAAGAGAGCAGCTCTTTCCATTTTTCATAGCTTTCCCTTGGACACTCTGATTCTAAGAGTACACGTCATCTTTTTAGACTCCTGCCAGACAGGGCTCTGCCAGCGCTCTATGGGAAGTGTTCTGTGGGGCATCCTGAAAATCACTGAGAACAGGAGACGTCATGCAAATGAATGAGAAGGATGCACTATGTGGGGTTTGTGTTATCTTTGCAAAAAATGAAAGCGCGATCTAACGAGTTCTGCCTTTCCATTGAGGGGCCCACTGGCGAGACCGGTCCCCTGGGCGAACGCGGACATCCTGGGCCCCCGGGGCCGCCTGGTGAGCAAGGCCTTCCTGGCGCTGCAGGAAAAGAAGGTGCAAAGGTACAGATGCTCAGGGGTGTTCTTGGCCGACAACATCCACCTACTGTTCACTCCAGCTCCGTGTCACTGGTCATAGTTGGGCTAACTACACGGTGGTGGAGTGTTCCCATGAACGTCACTGAAATACTCCCTTGGCTGTACTTCAGGGCATGACCGAACAATGATATAAGAAGCTTGCTCAATTGACTATAAAACCATCCATTTATATCCATATGAAATATATATGTGGTGTTTATTTTAATGTATGTGGCCTTTCCCATCATGTGCTCACTGTGAAATGATAGGGGGAGCTACAGTTTTGTTTGTGGTCACATGTATGGAAATCACTCCCTGTGACGGATGTATGTTCTACCCCTCAGGGCGACCCAGGCCCTCAAGGCGTCTCAGGGAAAGACGGCCCGGCAGGCCTCCGTGGTTTCCCCGGCGAACGAGGTCTCCCTGGAGCTCAGGTACCATCACCGTGAATGAAACCGATTATTAGAAACATTTGCTTTTTTAAAAAAAATATACTTCATTGATTTTTTACAGAGAGGAAGGGAGAGGGATAGAGAGTTAGAAACATCCATGAGAGAGAAACATCGATCAGCTGCCTCCTGCACACTCCCTACTGGGGATGTGCCCGCAACCAAGATACATGCCCTTGATCGGAATCGAACCTGGGACCCTTGAGTCCGCAGGCCTATGCTCTATCCACTGAGCCAAACCAGTTAGGGCGAAACATTTGCTTTTCTTTTTTTAAGTAAATGAAAGGGAAACGTGTCAGCGTATGCATGGATGATCGTCTATATCGCAATATGTGTTTGTGTCTAAAAACACTTCCCCACACCCTCATTTTACCAGTCATGCTGTCCTTGAATTTACATTCAATTCGCACCCATTCATTTTCTCGGTTTCCCCCCGCTTTTCCCAGGGTACACCTGGCCTGAAAGGAGGAGAGGGACCCCAGGGCCCACCAGGTCCAGTGGTAAGTACGATTGTAATAACCAACCATGCCAGCCACGGCTGCAGATTACACCGCTCCTTTCATTATCCTCCCGCTGCGATCCCACGGCGTGTGCAGAGAAGTAAACACGTGTCAATCAAGCCAGCCAGCGCTGGGCTGCTGCTAATTGCTTGCACTAATGAGTGCAGAAACAGACAGTTCAGAGGACTGAAAATACTGCTCCTCATGCTGTCAGGAGGCAAAGGAGCTATTTTGCCTCCTAAACCGTAATTTGTCTGATTCTGAGTACTCGGCGAGACTGGGATGTTATCAATGCTTATTTAAACATCGCAGAAGCACGAAAAGTGTATGTCCATGTATACATTCTCCAGATAGCTTTATTTAGCTAATGCAACCGCATCAAATAATTGGCAAATGAGTAAACACCAGATTCCTTTTTGGGGATACCTGACCAACCCCTAGGAAAGCAATCCGACACGGCTCTCCATCAGTTCATCTTGGTTCTTATCTGTAGCCTGAAAGGTGAACAGTAACAGCCGAGCTGCCCAGTTCAGTGGTCTCTTCTCATGCTGCGTTTTATTTCACCCATCTCAGAAGCTAGCAATTGCCTCACATTGTCTTTCAGCTTCCTTACACATGTTGAAGTCATTCTAGTTCCACATTCAAAAATGTTTCTTTAATTTCCCTCAATTTCTGCGACCACTGCCTTTGTCCGTCTCTTTCCTCTGTTTCCTTGCTTAATTGTGTCTCAGTGACATTTCCTGGACTCCACTTTCTTTGCCTTTTCAGCCGGTGGTTCCCCTGATTCTAGTTGAATACACACCCTTAGCTATGCTGTTCCTTTGCTTATACACATCTCATGGCCCCACGCTGCCTTCGGAATCCAAACTCCTTATCGTGATCAACGAGTTATCAACAATTTGATCCCAATCACCAGAGTCTGTTTTATTAACATTACCTTCAGGGTATTGACTAAGTAACAGTACATGCAGGATTGAGACGCACAGGGGTGGAGATTTTGCTGTTATTCATATGAAGGAAAAGGTACTAAATTGAATTCTTGGGGGAAAGAATGTGAATAAAGAACGTGAAGGGTAAATGAAATAGAAAATGGAATGATATCGCAACTGTTTAGTCTTTCAATTATTAATGCTATGAACTTTACAATCATTATCTTAATGGTGTTTATCACCTGACCAGGTAGATATTATTCCCTTTTTAAAGGTGAGAGACCTGAGGCTTAGAAAAGGTAAGTGATGAGCCGGAGTTTATAGTCCTTTGAGGACAAAGGTCCACCTTAGCACATGGCATAGACTCCTTCCCAGCTGTGCGTCTCTCACTCTAAACGTCTTCAGTTCTTTCCTCTTGTCTCCTTTGTCCAAGTCCTCTTGATTCTCCCGACTCCTGTGAGCAGCTGTGTCAAAAGGAAGAGAGTTAGAGGAGCTCATATTCCAGCTCCCTGGGCTTTCCTACTCCTCCATGTGCTCTTTATAACAGTTATTTAATTAGAATGAATCAGAGATTAAACTACTTAAGCAAATGGGCAGGTTGAATCCTTGGACGCTTGTTCTCTTTCCTTATCCATTCAGTCAACCCCAGAGCAGACTGTCTGTGCCCCGTCGCTGCGACATCCTGTATTGGGGTTTCCTGGCCTTGGCCAGGTCTAGCTGGAGGCCACGGGGGTGTGTGCAGGGGGACAGTGGCGTCTGGATTTGCATCAACCACCGGTTCTGTTTGAGGACGGGAGATCGCTTTAGACAGGGCCCTTAATATGAATACCCCCAGAAAAACCTCTTGCGAATCCTAGCTTGAGAATATTTGTAATTTCGCAATCAGTTACCTGGTATATATTTTCATAAATTATGAAAATTAGAATCTTTGTGCTTCAGCTTACAGAAATCAGAGTCAAAACAGACACACTAGAGAGATAACTCTTTCCTTACGATTTTTTGAGTGAAACTCACTGTATGAAACGGTACATGTAATATACTTTCACATTACCTATTATATTTTATTGCAGTCAATATTTTAAAATTCTGGACAAGACCCACTGACGTTATATTGATTCACTAAGTGGGCATTTCCTACAAAGAGCTATGGCTTACAGGGGAAGCCAGGTAGGAGATAGATAAAATAACAAATAATAAATAAGTGATATATTAAAAGACAGAACAAAGAAGACAAGGTGAGAAAAATGATTTTTGCCTAAAGGAATGATGTTGGCACTGGAGCCATAAATAAAAGACCATTTGATGAAAAGCGAGTTTTTGGATCTAAACAGAGTCTGGAAGTGCTCACCGCTGTCTAGGTGATCGGAGTGCAGAACTGGGGTATTGTAGTGTTTTTGAAGTTTGGCTGCTGGGAGGAAATGTGTATTGAGAAACCTTTTTCTTAAAATATATTGTTATTGACCTCAGAGAGGAAGGGAGAGGGAGAGAGAGATAGAACATCAATGATGAGAGAGAATCATGGACTGGCTGCCTCCTGCACACCCCACACTGGGGATGGAGCCCACAACCTGGGCCTGGGCCCTGACCAGGAATCAAACCGGGACCTCCTGGTTCATAGGTTGATGATGCTTAGTCACTGAGCCACGCCAGCCGGGTGAGAAACATTTCATTATTATTATTATTGTCTAAAGTTTTACGCATGTCTCCTTTTTTCCCAATTGACACCCCACACTCTCAGCCATTCCCACCCGGGCAAGCCCCCATGGCCCAGTGTCTGTGTCCATTGGTTATGCTAATATGCATGCATACAAGTCCTTTGGCTGCTTTCTAACCTCCCCCCCTTTCCCATTTGTCTCTGGATCCATCTATTGTTAATCAAATTATGTTGATCATTACATCCCACATATTAGTGAGATCATGTGATATTTATCCTCCTCTGACTGGCTTATTTCGCTTAGGATAATGCTCTCCAGCTCCATCCATTCTGTTGCAAATGGTAAAAGTTCCTTCTTTGTTATAGCAGCATAGTATTCCATTATGTAGATGTACCACAGTTTTTTAATCCACTCCTCTGCTGACGGGTAAGAAACATTGTTTTAATGCTCTCACTGCCGACAAACAAAATGATCCCAACAGGATGCTGTGACTTTGGGCTCCTGAAGTCTGGCACCTCCGCGTGCTTATTGGATGTCCCATGCTGCATCCGAGAGCTGGTAGTAGATGCCCATCCAGGCACAGGCACGCTTCCCGCCTCAGAGGTTCGCCCGCTAAGTGCCCGCCTGCCTGCGCGCCCAGCAGAAGCAGCAGGGGCTGGCCGGCCAGAGCGGAGGGCACAGTGCGGCCGTCCCCACGTGCTGAGCATGAACTGGGCCGCGCTTCACACTTATGTACACGCACAATGCGCGCAAATATATTACACCAGCAAATTCTCACATGGCGTCTGCCACCTGTTACCAGAAAGCAACACCGAGGAAAATGTATTCCCTAAATAACCTCTATTTTTTTTTCCTGATACGGCATCCCCTTCGTCACCATCATCATTTCTCGGAAAATGAGGTGATTCATAGAAATGTAGTCGTGTGATGCGTACAAGCTAGAGTTTTACAATCACATTTGCATTGTTCCCCGGGAGAAGTGGGGGCCCAGATGGAGAAAGGATACGAGGGGCCGACAGCTGCGGGAGATGATGGTGCGAGCTGCACCATCGCACAGTCCACCCTGTTCCTTCCCCATGGCTCCTGCACCCCCCCCAACCCCCCCAGCCTGCGCCTCGCTCGTCCTCGCCAGGTGCTAATGTTTCTTCCCCTTGACTTTTCCTTAGGAGTTCATAACCCTTCCTATCCAGTTCCTAATCACTCTGTGTTTCCCCTGCATCCCATTCCAAGGGACCTTTTTCTCAGTGCCTTCCTCTTCCTCCTCAAACAAGGAAGCCGAAGTTCTTAGAAGGGTTACACCTACAGACTAATTGTGTCACGTGCTGTAGTTTTAAAGATAAAGCAGGTTTTCTCTGTGGGGACCAGGGGAGAGCTCAGGAGATGCTTACATCCAAGTAGGAAGGAGCCAAGGATGGAGATGGCGGTGCGGATCAGTGGCCAGAGGCTGAGAGAGTACAGGACTTGGAGTTTGTGCTCAGAATTTATGCTCTAACTGGCGGCATTGCTTGATTTGTTATCAGACTGTTTGGCTTCATGATCTAAACTCTTTTTGATCTGCAAGAAGAGCGAGTCAGGGAGAAGCGAATGGTTTGCTCACGGTGGGAGGAGGCTAGTGGTTCCAGCGCTGGGAAGGAAAAGGCCATACACCCAGTGGACACACTACTGAGGGCCTACTGTGTGCCAGCAATTACGTGAATTGCTGGAGATCAGTGAGGAGAGAAAACCCTTAAAATTCTACCCCTGTGGAGGTGATCATTATGCACTTAAGCTACGTTTAAACCCAAACACGTTCCTTTTAGATGCAATTATTTATCTGACAATTATCACGCCCTCCGTTTCTACTATAGCCGGTTACAGAGAAACGCAGTCATTTCCATCACTACAAGTGTCTACACTTTATGGGAAAAACGCATTGCGATGTGTTTGTTCAAGGGCTGATATCCACCATAATACATTTTGTATTCCCAGGCACCAGACTCGGATTCTCACTGTGCTTTTGTGGGACGTGTGAATGGGTCCTCTTTTTATTATTGGGTTTAAATTTTCATTTTAAAAAAATCAGACCTCATTAGTGATTCAGCTGCTACCAGAGGATTCATAGGTTTATTCTGTTCAAAGTCCGCCTGGGGATCTTCCGGTGAGACTTGCAAGTTTTTAATGGAATTTGCTTAATCGCCACGTATCACTGGAGATCTTCCCCTTTCATTGATAGACGTATAAAATGAAATCACTGAAGAGCATGCTGTTATTAAAAATATCTAGACTTACAGAGTGTTTGAAAGAACTGACAAAAGGAAATTGCAGCTGTACTTTTGGGAGCAAATACACATGGAAAAAGTTTTCATCCATTGTTTTGAAATGAATGAGCTATGACATTATCATGAGCAGTGTTTTAACTACAGAAAGTAATATGTTTTCATTGTTAATTTTAATGCAGGTTTCACAGGCAAGATGGCAATCTGAAATGTAATCTTATTAATAGTCCCAGGGAGTCATTAAACTAGCTCAGCTTTGTACAGTAAAAATAGTGCGTAATACCTACCAACTGTGGGCATTGCCATTGATTCAAATGAACATTCTTTCTCATAAATGAAAATATTTGATTGATTTTAAATATTAGACATACTTCACTATCAAACTAACAAGCATTCTTTTCTTAAGTAAAAGCCATAAGTTATTTTCATGTACTTGCCGGTCATCAGGTATCCAATTAAGGAAATATACATTTGTCTTAATTTTTATACCACATCATTTCATGAAAATACACATTCAACTAGAGTTTTTTCTCCTGAAAATCTGGGAAATTTCTATTGACCACACATGAGTACATTTAGATCCTATATTTTTTAAAGCCATCATGTTCACAGACTTTATGAAAAGACTAATGCATATCTCTAATTGTATAATAATTTTACATTTAGATGAAAAATACATAACATCTTCAAAAAATTAAGTATATGTGCCTTTGAAATTATTTTATCTTTCAGTAATATTTCCTAACTCTGGTATTGGACTAGAAATTAATCTTTCAACTAGTGAGCACAACTGTTCTTGCTTGAGATTTTGTAATTGTCTACAAGTGACATGGGACTGTAAGACCCCACTGCTAGGTCCCTGCTTCCTAAGCCTGCTTCCCCTTTCCCATCACTAGTAACCCGTGCCTTTTCTCCCGTGTACAGGGCTCCCCAGGGGAGCGGGGGTCGGCAGGCACCGCAGGCCCCATCGGATTGCCAGGGCGTCCAGGACCCCAGGGTCCCCCCGGTCCAGCCGGAGAGAAAGGTGCTCCTGTAAGTAATTTCAAGGAGAAAAACATATTATCCTGCCGCCCTGCAAAAGTTATTACTTTTTATTCAAGGATATTAGCTCTTCACACGCCACTGCATTCTCACTGCCTATGTGCCTGGCATAGAAACACACTTCTTTATTTTTATAGGAGAGAATATTTCAAATTCAATGAAATGAGCTGATATTTTTCCACACTTTATGAAACCCTAATTCTGTGAGGGATTGGATATTATTAATGTAAAAGGCTTCTGATTTGGCTCCTTTAAGAAAAAAAATAAAATTAGAGTTTTGATTAAAACTATACCTTGCCGCTATATTTTAGAAAGGTGTGCACTTTTCTCTCTTCTTGTAATACAACTTTATTTTTTAAATATATATTTTTATTGATTTCAAAGAGAGAGGGAGAGAGAAAAACTTCAATGATGAGAAACAATCACTGATTGGCTGCCTCCTGCGCGCCCCCTACTGGGGATCAAGCCCACAAACTGGGCATTGCCCCTGACCAGAACCGAACCTGGAACCCTTAAGTCCGCAGGCTGACGCTCTATCCACTGAGCCAAACCAGCCAGGGCAGAACAAATTTATTTCCAATCATTTTCATGCAAGTGAAACCCATAGAAAGTGGCGGCTCTTCTCATGTGATTTGAGTTTGGGTCTCCAGTGAACGAGATGGGGAACATCTGACCAGCCACTTCATCGTACATGTATTGGATTTTTAAATTTTTATACTTGTGATCATAAGCTATATTTTGTTCTTCACTAGGTTTATGTTGCTGTGTCAAGATATCTTCCCTCTTTTGGTTCCTGCTTTTGATGTAATCATATTAATTTTCTAAAAAATAAAAGCTTTCTCTCATCCTCCAAGATGAAAACACAGACTCATTCAGTAAATGTAGATGAAAATCAGACATCATATGCGAAAATATGAGTTTAATAGATTTGTGTACATGTCAGTCTTGAAACATGTAATCTAGGTTAAGCCTATAATTTTAAAAATACTTTTTTTTATCACGAAGACTTAGTTTTAGCAAGTTTTAGTTTTAGATTAAACTAGTTGAGTCCATTGTCCAAGCATTTGCTCTCATGACTGTTTGTGATATTATTCAAAGGTTTCCAAATTAAAATGATTGTTTTCTGTAAACGATCACCTTTCAGAAACATTTAGAATGTTAAAATGAGGCCGTGCCCCCTTGGACAGAAAAGAAGATAGCCACAATATTTTGTGGGGATCAGGTGAACTGTAGTTCTAAATCACTTTGTAGAATATGCATGAAACATCTATTAAAAATACAAGGAAGGTCACAAACAAAACCTATTGCCAGGTTGGGCAGTGAGCAAATGTGTTTTGAGGGATTTTTAGCCCTAACGGCCAGTGTCTGGTATCACCATCCAAGAAGAAAGGCTCAGCGAGTTCTTGCAAATATCAAGCATCCGATTTATGGGTATTCGGAACTTGATTAGGAAATGTGTGCTCGAAATAAAAATTCTAAGACGAATCGATCAGACCTGTGGGCCATCGCCCGCGATTCGTACCTCGTTACCAAGGAGAGCACCCTGGCTGGGAAGGAGGCGATGGGTTTTCTGCATCCTCCTTTACAAAATACTTTTTTTCTTGAGAACTTTAGGCAATTTCCTTGCAAATCTGGAAGCTGGAGTGTGACTGTTAGCGCTGCTCCTTAAATCTGTAGCAAACAGCGAATGTGCAGGTTTCTCACCACAAAGTGACGGTCTGTTGGCTTTTCAATTACAGGGAGAGAAGGGGCCCCAGGGCCCCGCGGGCAGGGACGGTGTGCAAGGCCCCGTGGGGCTCCCCGGGCCGGCTGGGCCCGCCGGCTCCCCCGGGGAGGACGGAGACAAGGTGGGTCCCCTCTCTTCGTTCGTGTATCCTGTGAAAGTGGCTTTTCCTCAAGAGCCCTACGTGTTAACCTAGGACTAGACCCCAAATCTGAAGGTGCCTCCTCTAAAGTTTCATGCATCTGGCCTGGGCTCCAAAGTTTTATTTCAGATTTTGGGGGATTAGTAAACATGAAATAGGTGGGGTATGAACAAGGACAGAACAGACATAAGAACAAAGAGGATGAGAAAAAAGTAGCAGGTGCCCAAATCGCTCATTTGTGTGTGAATACCTAGGCTTTGGGAATAAATGTGAAATTAGTGTCATCAGTTACTTGTGTATACCCAGCCCTTGAGTCTTGGGTATTGCAGAGTAAGGACTTGGGAATGGGCTGCAAACATGTCTGATAATCCTGCACCTCTCTCTCTTTTACTAACGTAAAAGATTCTGAGCTCTTCATTCTGAACATGTAACTGTGATGCTGTGTCTGAAGGTATATATCGTCTAATGTTATTGCGAGGCACTATAGCAACACTGGTGAAAATGCTGATAATGTGCAACATTTTAGCATTTTGGAAACTAGGAGAAAAAATACTTTTTCATTGCCATGTAATTATACATTTTTTAATAAGTCAATGTACTTCTGTTATCAGACAATCATGGTAATTTTTCAGACAAAATGGATTTTATAAAGTAAAAATCCTGTGGCAATATCCCTCCAGGTTGAGTGGACTTCAATTGTGTTTTAGTCAATACCAGAAAGTGAGAAGCGGAGGCAACCTGCCTTTTACAGTTGAAACAGGGACATGTAGGGCTGGCCTGCAATTATGTAAGCATCAGATTTAATAGGGAAATGATAGTGATGATGGTGCGTTGGTATGGCCTATTACAGATAAACTTTACCTCGAATTTTCCAATACAGGGTGAAATCGGGGAGCCCGGACAGAAAGGCAGCAAGGGCGACAAAGGAGAAAATGTGAGTTTTCTGCTGGAGTGAGGGGGCATTATTCACTCAACCTCTTCCGCTGATGACCATGGATAGAGAATTAGTACTGATTATTTATGTATCAGAAGATTGTCACATCAACACTATAACATTTGGGATTCAATCAATTCTATTTTTTAATTTGAATTTTCCTTTTCAATTACAATTTATGTCCAATATTACTTTGAATTCAGTCGATTCTAATAAAACCCCTTTCCACTATCCTTTTCAAAGTTTTCCAAAAAATTCAAGAGGAGGGCAGACTCCCAAGCTCCCTTTACGAGGCCAGAATTATTCTAATTCCAAAGCCAGATAAAGACACGACAAAGAAAATTACAGGCCAATATCCCTGATGAACATAGATGCTTAAACCCTCAACAAAATATTAGCAAACCAAATCCAGCAACACATTAAAAAGATCATACGCCACGATCAAGTGGGATTTATTCTGGGGGTGCAAGGCTGGTGCAATATCTGTAAAACAATAAGCGTGATACCCCACACAAACAAAATGAAGGATAAAAACTGCATGATCATATCACTACATACAACATTTGATAAAACCCAGCACCCATTTATGAAAAAATCTCAGCAAAGTGGGAACAGAGGGCACATACCTCAACTCAATAAAGGCCATAGATGACAAGCCCACAGCCAACATCATACTCAGTGTATATTCAGATACATGCAATAATTCCAGCCAGCAATTTTACCTGCCATCATTAGTTCAGATTTTCATGTGGTTTAAAGACAAGTAAAGTCTTCGTTGTTATGAAAAGAATGTTGACCTCGTTCACACCTGAAGGGTTCCGTGTTCCGTGGAACTTCGCTTTAAGCACTTTTTCCAACTCGGAGCAGCTACGCTAAGGAACAAGCTAATCCAATGACTCTCTTTCGTGCCTGGATGATTTATAAGGCCTTTTCAGTATTGACATATAAGATGTAAGTTAGCAAGAAACATGTATTCCTGTAAGACTAATAAGCCTACTCAAATCTATTGTTCACAAGAAGGAGTCCTGGTATACTTACTAAGTAACACTCAGTTCCACGTGCTTACATACGGGGACCAGTCTAACTTCCCCACACCACTGTCTTCCCCATGCAGAGGGCCCCTACCTCCCAGCATGCACTTAGAATGACAGCACACAGGTCAACTTCTCATGTGCTCCTTCTGACTCACATCCCTCAGTCAAGAGACCAGGTATTCTGAAAATTTTCAGATGTGAAACCTCACCGCTATTTAAGTTAGCACAGAAACCCATGTCTAAATACCGGCAACATCACAGACCTGAGTGGCTTTCATACCCGCTGATGTGAAATGGACTGCAGCCACACACCTGTGAGTCTCGGACGCACGTCCATAGTGGTTGACTGCGCTACACCGGAAAGACTTCTTTTCATCACCAAGCGAAGAGAACGGCCCGCCCTCTGCTCCTGAGACTCTCTGGCCTCAGCTGCAGAATTCCTGATTCCTCTCTCCCCCTAGGGTCCTCCCGGCCCCCCAGGTCTTCAGGGTCCCGTCGGCGCCCCTGGAATTGCTGTAAGTATCCCTCCTTGCCCAGCCCACCTAAATCCTTACAGTCCCCGATTAAATTCATGAACTGTTGCATAGCCAGACTATGTGATATTGTTCGTATGCTTAACATGGGCTGAAATGTAAAAGATCTAACAGAGCTAACCAAGCTGATCTCTATAAACAAAAGCCCTTGTGACTTCATCTCACAAGAGTCCCTAACCAGTTGGGAAGTACATTGTAGTCAATGCTTTTGGAATTTTTCCCTATGACAAAGCTTTTACTTCACTGGGCGTACACAAGAAAATTAAAATCAGCCGTGCCCCAGAAACAAGGAATATGAACAAAACGAACACTGGGATATTTGCAGCAGAGAATGGAAGCTTCACCCACTTGATACAAGCTTACTGCTGCCTACACCAGCTTGGATTCCACCGGAAGCCCTTACACTTTATGATGACGTGTACCCCAGTCACCATCTTCCCAGTTTGTGATCATGTTCCTTGTTCTCCGCCAGGGAGGCGACGGGGAGCCAGGGCCCAGAGGTCAGCAGGGGATGTTTGGACAGAAAGGGGATGAGGGAGCAAGAGGCTTCCCGGGACCCCCTGGTCCCATCGGTCTTCAGGTACGTTGCTCTCTGCCTGTGTCCTCTGTCATTCCACCTACTTCGCACCAGCTTTTCTGCTGGATGTAAAACAGAGCAGAATGTTGGGACAGGGCTAACCCTAAGGCTGTTTTTCTTATATGTGTATCTGAGCTGCAACTTCCTTTTACCTGTTGATATTCATATTTCTGGAGCTGTATCTGCCCCAGTTTCTGTTTTTGGTGTTTATTTAGCCCATCTTTGATATCACATCTGCTGTCCTTATTCTTCTGTTTGAAAAACGACTCTTGTTTAAGTCTGATAGCCAAAAGGAAATTGTTACAAGGGTTTTTTCATCTTGTTTTGTTTTCGTACATGTCATAGCAGGAAAATTGGCATTTCAGATGGCTAGCAAAAATTAAAACCATTCTGAGAAATAGCAACTGCCAATCACAGCCACCAACAAAAATACCAACAGCAAACGTTAGAGTAATGGGTCACATAAGCAGCATAACAGTGAATGGATCGTTTAAAATCACATTTAAAATTGTGATGTGCGTTTCATAGAGTGCATTCAGGAGAGGAAGTGTGTTCTGTAAGCACCGCAGGTGAGGAATTTCAGACGGATTCCCAGGGAACGCACACATCACTGACGTCACTCCCAGGAAAAGCACGCGTCACTGACGTCACTCCCAGGGAATGCACGCGTCACTGACGTCACTCCCAGGGAACGCACGCGTCTCTGATGTCACTGACGTCACTCCCAGGGAACACACGCATCACTGATGTCTGTCCCATTGGCTACCTCCTCCTACTGCGCTCAGGTTCCTACAAACTGGAAACAGCGAGCTTTCCTTGTCCACTTGCTCATTCTACACCCACCTCGCGCTCCTCTAGAGCAGCGGTCACCAACCTCCGGACCTCACGGACCTCCAGGGTCCACGGACCACCGGCTGGAGACTGCTGCTCTAGAAGATTACAAAATTTTGTTTTAAATAACATTCAAGTACCATTTTGATGTTAGATATGCCACATTAGAAATTTTAGAAATGTTCAAATTAAATCATCTATTCACTGCACTTAAAAATTTGTGAGGCTCTAGAAAAGTAAATAGAAGTGGAATTTGTATAAATTTCATTTTTTATCTTTATTTTCACAAGTCCCAGAGTATTGGTTGTTAATATTAAATAGCTTATGTATATAATTATACAAATTACATTGTAAACTATGTAATTAATTATCATAATTATTATTGTTATAAATCTCATTGTATGTCTACCAGTGAACATGATATCATCATTTTCCACTTTTATTTTCATGCCAAGAAATATCCTTTTAAACTTGGAAAATGCAGATTTTATTCTCATATTACTGTTTTACTCTTTTACACTTATTAGACAATAATAAATAAGCAATCATGAGTACTACACATCACTGTGTGAAAAACACATGTTTTTGAAAACAACAAGACATTAAAAATTAGATTGCCAATGGCTATGGTACCATTCCCTGTCCGCTTTCTCATTTAAGAGATTGCTCTGAATTCTATAAGGGTGTAATTCAGGAACTTAGTTCTCATGATTAAAGAAGATGCCTGGTAGCTTATATTTATAACATATTAAATAAAAAATTACCTTCATTACCTCAACTTAATAAATGTGCTGTTTGATAAGGTGACTCAAGAAATCGATACACTAAGAAATGGATTTTATTTTGCCATGGCTACCTCTTTAAATCAGGAATCTGAAACGATATTAATGTGATTAACATGTTCATAATTGATCTACGTCCTTTAATTGAGTCTTCATGGCAGCATAGATATTAGCAATTGTAATAGACCTAAGTAATAATGATAGAATACTCTGGTTAAATGACTTGATTTTTCAGTTTGAAGTTTACTCTTTGTCTGCATATGAAGGAGACATAGAATGAACGTCTTTGGCCTAAATTCATTTTTTCATTTCATCACTTTAGTGGCAAATTATTTCAAATTGGCAGACCTTAAAACAGAACCTCCTCCTGTATAAATTACTCCCAGGAAACACTGACGACTCACGAAAACCGACTCACCCGGTGCCAGTAGGGAGGTTTAGCCCTGCAACAAGAGAACCGGACTCGTTATGTCTCTATTAGTTTTAATAAGAACATTCTGTCTTAATTAACTCAAACTATAATCAAACTTCATTAGAAAGAAAAAAATTTTTTTCTATCAGGTTCCTATTGAGTTAATATTAGGGATGACCATACGCATAAAAAAAATGATGCAATGCAGAGCTGGGCTTGTTAAGGAAATAAATCTATCCACAAGCATTTATAGGTCATTTAATTTGAAATCCCAAATTAGATGCACTCTAAAAAAAGGAGGTGGAATGTGATTGTTAATTTACCTGGTGTTGGTAAGAACTGAATTATGCCTAAGTTGCAATGCAGATTACTTAAAAAAAAAGGACTTACAAATGAAATATTTATTTCATCTGTGTTCATGTCTGCTTGCATGTTTAAGAATTGAAGCTTGTGTGCTCCATCGATGAATTAGCGTCTTTCAGACTGTGGATCTTGGAGACTAAAATGTTAGCCATCTCTCCCAGGTAGTTTTCAGGCGGACCAAAATCTGCAACTCTACCTGGCTATTTCCTCCCGGGAGCTTCTCTAGCAATTCTGGAACCGACAGTAGATGATGGCAACTGCCTGGGAATTCCATGTAGCAGGCCACTTTCCTAGACACCTGTCTGACATACGATAAAAAAGAAATGAAATCCTGGTGATGTTGTGCAGTATAAATCAGCACTTAAGATTTCCTCATCAAAATGAGCATATCCCAATGTTTTAAAAGTTTATATATCTACTTGGTAAAGCACCCTCTCCCCAAACTAGGCCATGTGGAAGCAGTAGATCATCAAAACCACTTAATGGGGTATCCCCAGCATAAAAAATGAAAGGGAACAGGATAAGTAAAATAGAATGAAAACATCAAAGGCCCTCACCTGTGCAGGCCTTCCTGCACAGCATGACTGTTAGAAGCCATGTTTCAGCTACTTCGCATGTGCAGGTTGAGGGAGTAACGAGTAAAATGCAGTTATCACTGTGGGTCGTGGTCTAATAATTTGCTGCTACTGTAGTGAGGTGCCATGTAAATACTTTTCTAAAGTACCAGAGTGAGTTTAAAGCTTTGCATCCTGTGTTTTTTTATTTCTTAAGTAGATTACACCCTAGATTCTATTGTATCAGCTTTAAAAATGTAATATGTATAGAGTGTATAAGATATATACAAATAACATTAAAAATTGAAACATTCCATAATTATACTAGATTTGAAACTATTACCACTTTTAAAATGACACCTAAGAGATCATGATTGTAAGTACACAAGCAAGAGGCAAATTTGTGTTTTTAAGTGCTGTATACAATTTGACTGTGTACAGCATGTTGTGATATGAAAGTGGAAAAATAAACAATTCTACGTGGGGGACCTAGTGAGAAAGTTCAAGGGAAAAGTACAGTAATCTTCCCATGAAGACATAGCCAGGTGACATTTGAGTGCAACCTGCTCTGTGAGTTCTGGTCACTAAACTCAAAGTATAATATTATACAAAGCCTGCATGTTATTTGTAAGTGTAGATATAAGATTTTATCACATGTAGTCATTTCTTACATGATAAGTATTTTGATATGATAGTTTCTGAATCTTAATTTTCACGTTAAAGTTCTAACTTAACTTTATATTTATTTTTTGGTTTTATGTCAGAAACTGGCCAATTTCAATAAATGAGTGACTTTTATGGTTTTTCTATTCTATTTTCTTAGGGTCTGCCAGGCCCACCTGGTGAAAAAGGTGAAAATGGGGATGTCGGTCCCATGGTACGTTTTGGTTTTTATCGAGTAGATAGGATGGATTCCCATGTTACTAATATCTCCTGAAGGTTTATTAATGTGAACAAAGTTGTCCTAAAGGCTATGGCTTTTCAAATGGATGCTTTCTCTTTCCTCTACCCACCCTGCATCTGTGACCATTGTGTCTCTCTCATCACGTTGAACCTCTGTTTTTTCTTTCTCGCTTTGGAGTAATGGTGAACACACATGGGGCTCTCGCTGGGTGATATATTGTGATATATCTTCCATTTCTATGTGCGTATATTCCCGAGGCGTAGATAAACTGCCGCACTTCAGTTATTTACTAGTATTGAGCTCTGGACTTTCATGTGGCGTAAATAAAGAATGGATAGTGGTCTCCCAGGATTTGAATAATTAGCAAATGTTAGCACAGTATTAAAATTAATTGTATTTCAAAAGTCTTCATTTAACAAGGAATTCTCAATTAATTAGAACGTGATGACATAATTTCCATTGATTGATTCTGGCTTTCTGCTCTCAGGGTTCAACTGAAAATGGGAAATATCTATGTGTGTTTAGTAAGCACTGTAATGGGTAAGGAAACAATTAGGTAGGATCATTGAAATTAATAATGAAATATAATGAATGCATTTCCTAATTGCTGCTTTCTTTCAATAAAGATTGCTCCACTATTTACTTCCTTAAAATACATGTTTGATAATTTTACACTTGAACGTTAGATTTTATTTTCTTCAAATAAGAAATGATTTTTTTTCATCACAATGAACTGAATAACAGGGGACATAAAGGTGCTGGTTCAGTAACTGATTAAGACTCCACGCAGCACCGGCTAGAGAGCAGGCATCCCCTGGACGTGGCTGCTAGGTTCCCTGAATATTAATGCATTCTCCTGACCTACGGTAACGCTGGGAGTAGACAAGCTTTTCAACCATGATATTAAAATAAACTGTGACCTTTAAAAAAAATACCAATGCCCTGGCATTCACTCCAGACTAATCACAAGTGTGAGGTTACGGATGCTGGCCACCCATACTTTATTAAAAGCGTCCAAGTTCATTTTAATGCAAAACAAGGAGAGAGAACCATCGTTTTAGAGAGACAACCAGGCAATTAATCGTATTTCAATTCTAACCTATGGAACACGTATACACATTTTAAAATACTCTATAGAATTAAGAATTCCAGAGCTACTCAGGCACCATTTCTTGTTCCAACTTCGCTCCTTTTCTACACTAGCATTCTGGCCTATCCTGGCACAAACTATTTCTAGTTGTATTATGAATTCATTATACCAGATAGCAGCAATAGACTTCTTAAATTTTTAAAAATATGCCTTTATTGATTTGTAGAGAGGAAGGGGGAGAGGAAGAGAGAGAGAAACATCGATGAGAGAGAAACATTGATCAGCTGCCTCCTGCACGCCCCTCCTGGGAATCGAGACCGAAACATGTGCATGTGCCCCGACTGGTAATGGAACCTGTGACCTCGTGGTGCGTGGGACAGCTCTCCATCCACTGAGCCACACTGGCCAGGCACCTTTTTCAGTGTTTCCCCTGCAGTTTTAATTTCCCCGTAGCTGTGTATAAAGAAGCATTTGCTAATGTGGCGTCGTGTCCACCAAGAACGTGTTATGAGCCTGATGGGCTCCACTGACTGCTTTTGCAGGCTGCGACCGTTCGGTTTCCCAAGTGCAGTTAAGTGTGGCCTCATAACCTTATGTCCGTCTCTTACAGGGTCCACCTGGCCCTCCCGGCCCCAGAGGTCCCCAAGGTCCCAACGGAGCTGATGTAAGAGCTGTGAAGCATACGTTAATTACTGTGAAGTTGTATGGGGGTGTTGACATCGAATGACCACTGTGTCTGCAACACAAGGGAGACAATCACTCTATTCCTAAGTGTTTATGTGTACAGAGTTCAAGGGTCCCCTACTTACTCCATGTCATTTTCCAAGAAAACAAAACAGGCTTTTTAGGGAACGAATCACCATAAATACAAAATAGGTACAAAGTGCACATTCATTACATACTTATTGGTGAGTTAGAAATATTAGCTTTATTAGAATAACCACATTTGTTCAGTTCAACATACCAAGACCAGGCCTTGCATATGATAACTGTTGAATGTTACAGAATTGTCTCAAAATTTAACCTTTGTCGCTTACAATGTCTTGAGGAGATGGTTTGTGATTAGCTTTGATTGCCTGAGCCCAGGACTGTACCCCAGCCCGCCTTTACGTATGCATTTGTCATCGGTGACTTTTATCTAAAAGTTTGCATTTGTATCTTCACTCTATAAAATATGTTAGAGTAATATGTGCCTATACATCACGCACCTCTCGCCATGTAAAATATTTCCTCTCAATTGTATAAACAATCTCCCCAGAGCTTCATAACTAACTCACTGTTCCAGGATTCTAGGATTTTGAAATGTAATGTCATATGTATCTTGTTATCAATAACAAATGTATAGGCTTCGAGGTGATCACAACTTCTGACCTCACCTTTTCACCAAGAACGACTTATCTATCTTGTCTTCACTGCTCTGATGTCTGCTTTTAATTTGGGCCAGAATGTACCAGGAGCAGATGTACCAAAGAGGCTTTTAGGTTCCCACTGTTCTGAAGTAATTTTGAGGTTGGGAGGTGGTTGACCTTGTTTGTGGCATGGATCACCTCCTTCCTAACCAGAGTCGTATTTTGATCCACTACAAAAGTCATCCTCTAAATAGGGCATGTTCACTGATAGGAAGATTGAATTTACGTTTTGTGTACCAACTGGCAGGACTAGAGTTGGAAAGTGTCCAGTCTTAGCTTCAAAAGTCTGGTGCATTTAAAAATCAGTTTAATCTAATTAAATTATTTGCTCTCCAGTGAATTCGACAACCCAGTAAAGGGCATGATTTTGTCCCATCCTTCCAATGACTTGCACATATTTCTCTCTCCTTAAGAAGAACTAGATACAAACTTATGGATTTCTTCTCACAATTTGAGGCATGTTCTTTCATCGGTTAATATGCTTTCACTTACAAATAACAGAAAACCAATTTAACCAAAAAAAAAGAGTTTACAGTCTTATTTAACTAAAAAAAAAAGTAGTGTGAGCTTTAGACACAAGAAATCCTAC